ATCTGGTGAACTGGAAAGTGACCTGAGATGACATGATGTGAATTGGAGCTATAGAAATAAACTGAATAGAACTCATGTGGTTCCAGGTCAGCGTTTCCTGATTCCAGATGTTCCCATTTCTCCTGGAAGCAGACCATCATCAATATCCCGGCCCATGATCAGCCGCTCCAAAGCCCCTGCTGGACTTCTGATCGCAGCCGTTACCATCTGCTGCTCTTCCACCAAACAGAACCTTTGCATGTGGTCCATGTTGGTCCACCCAGAACCTCTGAGATGCCTCCTCTGCAGCTTCTCTGTGGAGGGAACTTCATGCGGCCCTGTGTCTGCAGTTAGCATGTTTGCTTGAACAAGCTTAGCGGGATGGCGCCATGGAAACGATCCGTTCCTCAGAACCAGAACCGCCTGTGTGATAACAATAACTTGCTGCTGGTGCTTCAATGTTATGAACCTTTGGACGTAGGAATAATAAACCAATCATCCTAAAAGGAGCCAAACTGAACATGTTGGTTTCAGAACCAGCAACATGAGCATCATCTTGCTGATCGGACCTGATTCTGTTAAGGATCAAGCAGGGACCAACCTGAACAGCGCCATGATCAGCTGGATCCATCTGACCGCCTCATAGACCTGCAGAGAGAGAAACACGAAGTCAACCTGCTGCTGCAGAACCCGTTTCCTTCCCCCATCCAGAGTAAGAAGCACCGACCCCAAGAACTAGAGTCTAATAAACAACTCTGCAAAAATGACCTAGAGATAAGTAAAAAATTAGTAAATTAAGTATATTTACCCTTAATTTGAGTAGATAAATAAAATGATTTGCAAACGGAATGAGGATTTCTAGTCTTAAAATTAGATTAACAAATAATATGCATTTGAAATAATTTTCTTATTTATATATATTTCCATTGGCAAAGTGTCTCATTTACCTCCTCAAAGAACAAATGCACTTAGTTTAAGAAAATACTTATTTAGATTTCCATTTATCCGGAGCAGAAACATTTATTTTATTCTCTCAGATGAACTTTAGCTTCACTCTGTTGTTCTGAGATCATAGATCTGGACCAAAACATCTGGTTCTGATCCCAGCATAGATCCACATCCATAGAAACTCATTCAAAAAAAAAAACAATAACAATCCACTGGACTTTGTTGAAACCTTTTTCAATTCAGAATGTCAGAAATAGTGTTGAGTTCCAGGTTTTATATCGGGGATAACCAATTAAAAATCAGCGGGGTCCAAATAAAGCAAATCATCAACCAGTAAAGATCCAGAGACATTTTTTATTATAATGTATAACACTGATGCATAAAAATTTCAGTTTATTTCAGAGTTAAATTCTATTTAAAGTAACAGATTATAATTAAAAATGTCTCCGGATCTTTACTGGTTGATGGGTTTATTTATTCGGACCCCGCTGATTTTTAATTGGTGACCCCTGATTTAGAGCAAACTGGTTCTGATTCTCTGAGCGTAAACATAAGAGAAATATCAGCTTTCTGGGAGCCATTTAGGATCAGTTCATGGAGGGCTGAGATAGAAGGAAGGATGAATAAAACTAAAGGGACATTTGTTCAAAAGCCTTTAATTCCCTGTAAGTCTGTGCAGAGGGTTTAAAAACCCACAGGTACCTACAGCAGAAAGGTTCAAACTTTAACAGTAATAAAAACAAAACAGTAAAAATAAATGAGATAAACCAGATAAAGCATCCTTGAGTTTAAACTGAGGACTAAAAAGGGTTTCTAAAAAAGTTAATCATTGAAGATGAAAAAGATTTACTCTGAAACATCAGTAAATAAAATGATCTTATTCTTGCTGCCATTTCAGCACAAATCAGATTTTTCTGCATTTTATGTTTCAAACTTTAAGAGTTTAATGGATTAAAATGAATCTCAGCTGCAAGGAAAAAAATGCTTCTGTCAAAATACTTTAAAGTGGAGTTTAAAGCAGAGTGAAAACAGATCATGATGATGATTTAATCAGGAGTTTAATCTGATTTAATCTGCCCCCCCCCTACCTGGGTCCAGTCCACGGCTCCGGTGGTGTTTGTCTCTGGGCTGAGGGAGAAGTTCAGCAAAGGCAACATGTTGACTGATCTGTGAAGAATCACAATCAGACCTGAAGCTGCAGCTTTTATCCTGCAGGGGGCGGGGCCTGAAGATGTTAGCCCCGCCCCCTGCATGGATGAAACATCCTCCTGGACAGACACCAAGCCAGAAGCATTCAGCCTGGTCTTCTATATGTGGAACCCCCCTCTGGGTCCAGAACAGAACCTGGAAGCCACTGGTACCAGAAGAGTCCAGATCCAGAGGGACTTTAGGAAAATAATAAACCCCTCAGGTGGATTTTTGTAATCCTCTGACAAACAGGTAAATAAACACCTGCAGGCAGATAAAAAATGACCTCATGTTCTCAGGAAGAAAACATTGTCTTCATTCTGGGCTTAATGAGGCATCTGAAGCCTAAATGTATTGATGCTGCATTGATTCTATCTCACAGAATACTGACCCCTGCTGGACATTATAAGACACTACAGGCAGCTGATTGGACAGACTAAACTGAATTGATGACCTAGTACACTGATATCATTTAAGTTATTGTAGGTTATATTTTATTATTTCATATCTATGTTTAAAATGAAAATATCTTTGATATTTTTAGATGCAGCCAATTAATAAAGTAAACATATAGCAGCTAGGTGGGACGAGCACGGAGGACGGTGTTCTGTCAGACCAGCATACTTATAGTCAGTACACATTCGCAAGACTTCACATTTGTGTTTATCCCTTTAGTTTTGTATGAAAAATAGACTTTAAACTACCTTAACGGGCGTGTATCTCCTTAGGCATCTTCTTGTGACCGGAAAAGTCAGTTTCCCTGATTTCAGGTTTAGAAAACTCAGAGTTTTCAGTAAACCTGTTGGTGAAACAGACCTCAGGTCTGTTCTCTGTGTTTAAACCTTCTCTGTGTCTTTAAAGCAGAAAAAGCAGCAGATTTCCTCCTATTTTTTATTGATGCATTAATGGAGAATCAATCAGTGGAATTCAACACATGGATCCAGATACACAAACACTGTGTCCTTGAGCAAGGCAGCAGCTAAGGCCTGAGTGATGAGGGAACCAGGATTACAGTTTAGATCCTCTGACAGTATGGGGAGAAAACCTTTCCAATATTATTGAAAACAAAGCAAAAATTTCTTTAAAAAGTTTAGAATAATCCCTTGCTGAGTTCGAATTTAGGGGCTGCGTCCTCTGAAGGCCATCGGCTGATGACATCACAGCGCCGCGGTCTGTTCAGATTAGAAGACTCCTCGTTATGCAGACAAATGCGACCTTCTTTTTGCCTGTTTTAAAGAACAGATTCGCTGTATCCTCTGATATCCCAGGATTCATTGCAAATCCAAGCAAGCTGGTGTAGGTACCAGATCTGCTCGGGGCCCCGCCCCTTCTCATGACGTCAACATACGGCAACTCCACTCGGACAAACTGTATTGCACCTGTTTCTTAAGGATCGAATCTCTTCTGGAGTCTCAACATATTATTACCTATATTTGTTATTATTTTACGTTTATCAGCGATCTAAAGTAGCTGAAAGCAGAAAACAATCATTGTCAGTCTGGAAGGAAAGTGCTGCATTCTAAGGCTGAGCTCTGCCAGTTAACAAGGTGACAATAAACACCTCAGCTTATTTTATTCTTTTTATATTAAGATCTGAGGGCAGAAGCGCTGGTTATCCTCCCGCAGCAGCGTGTCTCAGATATTTTTGATTTATGCTCAATATTGAAGCGTGGTCTGCGCTATTATTCCACGCTACAACGCCAGAGGGCCAATCAGGAACCAGCTGTGGGTCTAGATACGGCCGAGGCGGTGAGGAAGGGCAGGTTTGTGCCACAACGGAGGGACATGAGGGCCAAAAAGAGCGGGGATCCAGGTGGGAAAATGGTCCCAGTGTTCTTGCCTCGCTCTGCTAGCTGCTCCATCTTCAGTCGTTTTCCACAATGGCGGTCAGACAAACAAAACAAGCCGGTAAGGAACCAAACAGGAAATACGCATAGAGTAGAGCAGATGGAGATTTGACCAATCAGAGGCCTCCTGTCTGCGCTCACCTTCAACTTTGGAGAGGTGCAGCAGAGTCTGCGGAAGGGGCGGGGCATATCTGCGTTTACTACGACGCACGCAGACGACCTGATTCCTGAGCATAAATCAGCCTTAAGGGGGAAAAAAGAAGCATCTTAAAAAGTAACTTTCATAGAGATTTTAGAAAAGTAAGTTATTCTACTTTAATTAACGGTTGTTGTTGACATGAAGTTAAAATTATTGTAGCTTAATATGGCTAACTGACCGAGCTAAAAGAGGCTAACCTGTTAGCTACTGAGCACAGCTAGCCACAGCGCTACCCGGCTCTCCCCCTTTATATCACGATCTAAAGGGCAGATTAGACTTCTGCAGCCGCACGCATCAAATGTCGCTTGGTTCTGGTCGCGAACCAGTTTTGCTGGTTTGCTTCTGCACCGTCCGTCTGGAATATCTAGGGACGCACAGCAGTTTCCCGCCAAAGCACAAGGGGGAGCCTGTTCGAGAACTCACGAGAACTTGGGTGGATGGTCACGAGAACTTTGTACGCCGGCGGGAGAGTGTTATCCTCAAAAACAACAATGTCATGGAGATAGATCTAGAGTTGCTGGACAATGTAGAGGAACAGGTTCTGTTAATGGAGTTGGCAAAAAGACGGATGAACCATTGGTCGTAGTCGTCCGTTGTAGCACGCAGACCGCCGGAAAGAAATACTTTTTATCTGCACACTTCCGCTTCAGATCTGAGCGTGTTTTCAACCATCAGGACTTTTTTTTTTTTGCACAGACAGATTTGATGGTTGCAGAGGCGGTGCGTCAGAAGCATAAATTGGCCTTAAAGTTACTTTATTCACCTAAAACAGATTTTTTTTTCAGTTTTTTAATCAATCAGTTAAAACTTCATCATTAGACATGATAATCATTATATAATTATCGTTGTCTGGGCGACCACGATGTTTTACGTCATGTGGCAGCTTTTACCCAATCATGTAGCGTAACGTCACTGACTGAAGCGGTTATGTTACTCTGACCCATACATACATATATATATAATGAAAAATGACCAGACATTATATTTTAATTGCCCTAAAAAATAATAAATCCATGTATATTTCATGTTCATCATCAATTTAGCACTTTTATCTCATCTCCTAATGTTATATTACATGATTTATAGACTCCATTGACTTCATGAATCTGTAATGTGATTGGCCGATTTATTTATTATAAGTTAATCTACTGATGCTATGAAACAGACAGTTTGTGTCAAAGTGATGAATTTATCTTTATTTAAGTCTTCAGTCCCTGAAAATGAGAACATCATCATTATTCGATGCTGCAGCGCACCGATTGTTTACATGGATACCGGTCTAACTAGGGAGTACCAATATGGCGGCCGGTGGCTTCACTTTAACCCCGTACCACCAGCGGACGATCAGCAATCCAGGGAATAAATAGAGATCAGTGGAGTCAACTGTCATGGTTGCTAGGCAACAGAGCATTCCGGCGGTGAAAGCCTGGGAAGGGCGGAACTGTTTGGATCCGCAGCCTCTGAAATCCAACATCTATCGGTAATATCTTTCATTTTTTTCCTTCCAAATTTTAGTTTTTCCCAAAGATGTTTTTAATTTATTTCTAATTATTTTTCAATTTTCTCAGGAAACTTGACTTTTAAAAATCGTATTAATTTCAAATCCCGTTTTAAAGAAATTAGCTCGACTTTTCTCGAACAGAAATAAAAAAAATTTGAATAATCTTAAACAAAAAAATAAAAAATCAGTTAAAATTTTTCTAATTCAAATCAAAAGTAAAAATTAATGTTGTGATTATTAATGGGTCACATTATAAATGACTCATAATCAGACTATCTTGGTTCCCTTTTTTCTTTTTGCTTTTCAAAAATGTCGAACCAAATTTCTCTCCATAATCTCAGAAAACTTCCAGGTCTCCAAATTAAAGCGTCAGTTTTTTCCACCGTCATCCACCACTGCTGTCTGAGCTGGACCGATTCGCTTGGAGCAGCAATGAATCATGGGAAACGGCGGGCCACATCAGACCCCTCCTTCACATGTGGAAGAAGACGGACACATTTGATTGGCTGCAGGAACTGAGGTGCCGTGATGATCTAATCGCCTGCAGCTGAAAATTCCTTTAAATACGTTTTTATTTTTGTTGAATATTTATTCGTTTGGTTTTTCTGAGCTTGAAAGTTGTCCTCAAACGTCACGCGAACAGGAGTCTGTGATCCTGATCTAAAAACTGGAAATCTGCCGGGTTTGTCCCCTCTGAGCTCCCGTAGAAAGCCTGACAGCCTACGTCAACATGACTGAAGCGTCTCTGAACCGATCCGCCTTCGCTGGTCCTCAGACGGCGTCCTCCAGCCCCGCCGGCGCCGCGGCGGGCTCCGCCTGCAGCTTGTCCGATTCGTGCCACCTCATGTGTTTGCGGTACATCTTGGCTCCGCCCAGGTTCTTCTTGCAGATGCTGCAGAAGTAGGGATGGGCGTCGGAGTGCACGTCGATGTGGTAGGTGAGCTCCAGGGCGCGGCTGAAGCTCTTGCTGCACAGCGGGCACTGGTAGCGGACGCCCGTGTGGGTCAGCCGGTGGCTCTTCAGGGCGCAGAGCTGCTTGAAGGCCTTGGGGCAGTCGGGGCACTGGAAGGGCCGGGCGTCGGTGTGCACGCGCTGGTGGCGGCGCATGGCGCTGGAGAAGGTGAAGCTCCTGCCGCAGACGCTGCAGGTGAAGGGCTTCTCCCCGGTGTGGATCCTTTGGTGCTCCGTCATGTGGACCTGCTGGATGAAGCTCTTGTTGCAGACGGGACACTGGAAGGGCCGCTCGCCGGAGTGGATCCGCAGGTGTTTCTGCAGCGCCGAGGCCTTGAAGCAGTTGCGGCCACACACCGGGCAGCAGTGCTTGGTTTTGCCGGCGGCCGGCGGGTCGGAGCGGCTCTCTGGACCTGCTGGGAACATGGAGGCACGGTGAGCTGATCGTCGGACCTCGGCTCCGATGCGCCGCACTCAAACCGGTTCCGCTTTGAGCGCGGCGTGACGGAGCAGGAAATTCGGGGGTTGGTTGGGCTTCAATTTTCCCAATTCCCCTTGTTTCTTTTAGGCCGAAAAAAAAAAATCTACACACCGATTGACACAAACACACAAGATCCATAAATAAACAGAACAAGATTCACCGCCAAAGTATTTCTAGTCCTTAAACAATTATAAATTAAATTACAAAGTAACTGTGGCCTTTAAAGTCGTACGTAAATCATATATAAATCTCAAATCATTCTGGCTTGAACATATATATAAATGTACTCTTTATCAGACGATATTTATCTATAATTTAGAAAATTTCTATTTAAAAACAAAAATCCTGTCTTAAAATCTGTGTTTTTCTCGTTATCTTCTGCAGGCCAGTTAGTTCTACGTCAGCCTGAACACCTAAATTCAGCCAATCGTATATCAACGGTCATCTGTCAATCAAATGTTTTC